CCCAAGGTAGGTCAGGTTTTAATACAGATCCTTACCCCTTGGATCCTGGGCACAAGATCTCATGTGACAGCAACAACCCTCCATTTAAGAACAGGAACTTGGGGGGCTGGAGAGATGGCTCAGAGGTTAAGAGCACAGACTGCTCTTCCAGAGGTCCTGAGTTCAATTCCCAGCAACCACAAGGTGGCTCACAACCACCCCTTCTGAGATCTGGAGCCCTCTTCGGGTGTGCAGATATACATGGAAGCAGAATGTTGTATATATAATAAATAAGTTCTTAAAAAAGAAGAAGAATGGGAACTTGGAGTATAGATTATGACTATCAGATACCAATGTACTCAAGTCAGATAGAAAATTATCTGCAGCCCTCCTAAAACAATGATGGTGACTTAAATAGTGTCTAGCTGCCACTTCCTCTGTCTGGTGCTTGAATGTAACTCCTGCTGGGCTGAAATATGAATTTGCTCGTGACTGATTTTCCAGAGCTAGTGTGCCAAGATGAACCCACTTGAAAACGGTGGGCTCTCGGACTTGGCTGCAGGAGCAGTCCAGCTGAGGTGGGCTGGCCCGGCATCTGCTGCCTTCATTGTGCCTAATGCTGCACCCATCTGCTTTCTGTCAGAGCTGGTGCCAACGAATTACTAATCTATTAGAGAAGCGTGGGATGAAGATTGCGCTGCTCAGTCCTGGCGTTCACACTCACATTTTGCTTGGCTTACACATTTGGATTCTGGTTGTTGGAGGACAGATATGAGCTGTAGACTGCGTCAGGTGGGGTGGATCATACACTGCCCCATCCACTCGTCTTTAAAGGTGGCAGGGAAGTGTCGCTAGTGTTGCGTGGCTCAGTGCTGATGGTAGCAGTGCAGGCCTCTGCTGCTCTCTCTACCTGTTCCCCATTAGCATCACTCTCCCTGACGACAGTGCCACTGTGTGGAGGTCGTGCTGCCAGGCAGTGTCAGAAGCAGGGCTCAGCTCCCCATGTGTGCTAAAGCCTGTCCTTCGCCCTGGAAGCCATCTGGGGCCTTCAGAGAGGGTAGTGGTCTAGGCGCATGGGTTCAGTGAGGAAAGTGTTTAAAGTTTCCAGGAAGAAAAAGGGGACTTTGTATTTCTTCTCTCAAATAGAGGCCTCTATAATTAGAACACTTCCCCAGACATGTGATTCTGAGTCAGCCCAACTGACTGAAGGAATAGACTGAGAGCCCAGCGGTAACACCAATGTAGGCCTGCACATCAGAGCCCTGTGGCCCACACTAACCTCATTGGCCAGAGTCCTTCCTGCATAAGCTGGAGCCCCACTGCAATGCAGCCAGCCCCAGAGTCTACAAAGGAGGAGAGCTTGGAGCAGGGCTCAGGGCAATCAGGAAGGCTGGGCCATTCTCTCCTCTGTGCTCATCAAGATCCAGCCTCCATCAGCATTTTAGGTCCCCACGCCACAGCGAGTCAGATACAGACTGGAAAAGTTCAGTCTCCACCTCTTAGCACAGCAAGCAGAGCTCAGCAGATCAGGAACACACTGCTCTAATAAAATGGCAGGGAAAGTAGAGTACGGTTTACAATAGTCATGTCTAAATGCTTGCTCTAAAGCAAGATTCAAGTGTCATTTTTTGTTTGTTTGTTTGTTTGTTTGTTTTTCAAGACAGGGTTTCTCTGTGTAGTCCTGGCTGTCCTGGAACTCACTCTGTAGACCAGACTGGCCCTGAACTCACAGAAATCCACCTGTGTCTGCCTCCTGAGTGCTGGGATTAAAGGTGTGCACCACCGTTTTCCAAAGGAAAGATGTTTTCCCTAGAGAATGGGACTTCTTCCCCAGGAGTCATTTATCAAGTGTTGGGATGGTATGAACTAGCCTCCAAGTGACAGTATAGGTGTGTGGATTGGTTGCTTACATGCACCAATGACTTTGTTTTTGTTTGGTTAAAAGCAAAGCCAAAAAGGAGCTGAGACAGAGATAGTACAGGTGAACAGCTGTGATGTCAGTGAGGGGGCAGAGTCTGAGTGCCTGTGCACAGGGGAAAGCATCCATTCATTACACCAGCTTCCTTAGAGTCCAGGGACATGCTGCTCCTGCTGAGCTGACCCTCTGCAAGCAGGTGATCCATAGGGTAAGGCACTCAGAAACCACTTCAGAACTTGCTGGAAGAAATTTTCAATTGTGAATGGTTGCTGTGCGTTTAAAACTGTTGTTTGAGAACAGTGTGTGCTTGAGTATCTCTGCACAGTCAGTCTTTGCAAAGGTGCTGTGTGTTCTGGTGTGAGGCCTGCTATCAGCCTGCCTCATATTTATTGCATCTTTTATGCCCCTTCCTCCGGGTCCTCGGATTTCCGTTCCTTTATTGCGATCCTCGGGTCTGCCCTGCCTCTTTAGTGTCCTCCCATGTCCACCTTCTGCTTTCATAATGGCATTCTATTTCACACTGCCAACTTGAGACGGTGTAACAGCTTATGGGTGAGTCCCCTTCAGGGGTCAGCAAATTATTCCCTCTTGTTTTGACCCTGCTTTGTCAATATACGCTTGTCAGCGCTGTGTGAATATCTCCATGTGGCTGCTTTGGAGCTGTAAGCCTATTGGCAAAATTGAGTAGTTGGAATAGACTGACCCCCAATGCTTGAAATGTTTACTCTCTGGCCCTTGGCAGACACACTGTACTAGCCCATAGTCTGAATGAGCAGAGGCCTCCACCTCATCAGTAAAGAAAAGCACAGACAGTTGAAGAAAGCTCACCCGCCATGCACCTAACAGCAGGTACCCAGTGAGCTGACAGTGTCTTGCTTCCTGTGGCTCTAGAGGTCATCCAACTTTATGTGGATTTAAGAAAACCTGCTTGGACATCGTCATGGCGTGGTTACATAAGAATACTGTTTCTTAAGCACTGAAGAGGCTGCACACAGTACAGAGCGCTTGCCCTCCAGCCCACACTCACAGCCTACCTGGGTCACACCTGCCCCCCTCCTCCTGTCATTTGGGGCAGGTAACTTGGCATCCCTGGGTCTTGAGTCCTCACCTCCACTGAGATGCTTCCTTGGACAACTTGTAAAAAATCAAAGAATTGTTCTGAAGAACTTGGAATTAAACCTAGCACATAACAGTGAGGACTTGTTTTTTATTATCAGTCCACTTTTGTTTCTACTGAAAACCCTCAAGTGGTTCCTTCATGTCTTCAGAAGTGTGGCCCTCAGGTCTGCTAGCTCCCAGCTGCTTCCCCTTGACCTCCCAGCTCCGTGTTGCCCCTCAGTGGCTGCCTTGACCATTCTCCTGCTGCTTGTGGACTGTCCCCTTGACTTGTCAGTGCTTGCTCCCTTTGCCTCTTCCCCATTCTCCAGCTAGCCAGGAAGCCCTCCATCACATTCTGTGTTTGGGAGACTTTATGCCTGTGTAACAAATTTTTGGAGGATGGTTTCAGGAAAAAAGCTAGAGACAGGTTTCCTGAGAGGGCCCAGTCACTAAGCACAGGGCTTGCCCCACCCCCAAGCCTGGCCTACATCAGCACCTGAGGTTTCTATTCCCTACTGTTGTGCAGACAGAAGTCCAGCACTAAGTCACAATTCCTGAGCCTCCATCCAGGTCACACTCACTCCCTGCCACCATCGTGTGGATTTGCTTTTGTATTTTTTCCCTGTGTCCCTCCTCTAACCATGCACACTAGTGTGCACATACTCACACATAACTCTAAATCGGGAGCTTTCCAGGTGCAAGCATTTAGCTTTATTTCCCCTGTACCTGGAACAGTTTCTGGCATTTTTGTTGTATGTGTTGTCATTAGGTGATGGGAGAGTGTTCCAGAATGTAGTCAGAACAGTTGAGAAAGACTGTCCATAGATTATAGACACTTGTCTTTTTTACATTTATTTTATTTCTGGGAGACAGCTTGTTTTATTGGTTAAATACATGGATTCTCTAATCAGTTTGCATGAGCTTCAATCCTAACCTCTAAGCTTGGGTTTTTCTCATTTATAAACACTGATGTGTTTGGTTATTGGGAGAACTGGATTAACCAGGTGTCTAGTGTGCATTTTGGCTCGGAAGTTAACATCTGCTGTTATTACTGAGGTAACACCATGCCAAGGTACCAAACGAAAGGGAAGTGTGGCTGCTGCAACAGCTAGAGGCCCTGCAGCTGCCACCAAGGCCAGAAAGGCAGGAGTCATAGTGATGGCTGTGGCCTCAATCTTGGGCCCTGGCTTCCTCCCCTCACTCTGCCCGCCATTCCCTGTGCCCATTGTCACACTGGTGCTGAGAGTCATAAGACCTGACACCAAGTACATAAACCAACCACTCAGTCTGGGGTTGAAAAGGTTTGGATCCAACAATAGAGAAAAGCCATGTTGGACCAATGCCGATGCACGTGACACCCTCCTATGAAGTCAGGCAGGGTCTTGGTCTACAGTCAGGCCGTGTGGAAGTCTCAGTGGCCCTCACCTGAAGACTAACATTGTACTTCTGGGTGAAGTGTAAGTGTAAGGTATTCAACACATTGATAAAATTTTGGGCTGCAAACTCTTTTGTTGTTCATTTTGTTTTTGAAGCAGAGGGGATTGACCCTAAGGCCTGTGCATGTTAAGCCGCTGCTCTGCCACTGACCTGTGTTTCTAGCACCTGCCCTCCTTTTTTATTTTCATTCAAGGTCTTACTGGGGTGGCCATGCTGTCCATGAACTCTCCCAGTTGCCCAAGAAGGTTTTGAATATGTAATCCTCCTGCCTCAGCTGCCCAAATAGCTGACATTACTAACCCAAGCATCCAGGCCCAGCTTGGTGCAACGTGTTCCAAGACTGGCTTTCTATCCCAGTGTGCAGAGTCCTGGAGACTCTCTGTCACTGAGCTGGTTCTCCAGGCGCCTTGGGAATGCAGCCATGTCTGCACGAGAAGGAGCAGATTCAGAGCACAACTGGTGACTATCGCTCTGTGAAGGGCACATCATTGTATAGCATGTACTTCCAGCAAATGCTCTCATGAACGTTTAAATCAAAGTCCTTAACTTGTTTTTGCTTTTTGTTTAGGCAACTACTCCAGAACCCCAACGTATAGTGGGGTACCCAGTGCAAGCTACAGCGGCCCAGGGCCCGGTATGGGTATCAATGCCAACAACCAGATGCATGGACAAGGGCCAACCCAGCCGTGTGGTGCTATGCCCCTGGGACGAATGGCTTCAGCTGGGGTGCAGAACAGACCGTTTCCTGGAAACATGAGCAGCGTTACCCCCAGCTCTCCTGGCATGTCTCAGCAGGGAGGGCCAGGAATGGGTCCGCCAATGCCCACTGTGAACCGTAAGGCCCAGGAAGCCGCTGCAGCTGTGATGCAGGCTGCCGCAAACTCAGCACAAAGCAGGTATGCCTCTGAGATAGGTTGGGCTGTGTGCGCCCACATGACCAACACCCAACCCTCCCTTTCCTATATTCAGAAGCATCAGTGTGTGGCTTTACATATGGGGCAAGGTCAGAGAGGTGACAGACACTGCTTTCTGACCTACCAAGGAAGCAATCTGAGTGGTGGGCATGTCATTCTGGGAGATGAATTGAAGCATCTGTAACTAGTGCCTATTACTGTAGCCAGAGGACCAACCATTTCTGGCATAAAAGGAAATGTCTGCCAAGTTCGACTTCAAACAATGAGTTTTAAGCAGAACACACTGTGGCCTATTTAAAATCTAAAACGTTGCAAAAGAAATAACATGCACTCACACGCTCAAACACACAATTCAAATATGCACTCTATCACACTCACACACACTTGCAGACATACTCAAGCATGTATTGCCACACCATAATCCTATTGCTGGGAGGCAAGAGGCAGGCAGGTCCCTGAGAGTTTGAGGCCAGCATAGACTGCATAGCAAGTTCTGGGCCAGTCAGGGATACATAGTGAGACCTTGTCTCCCCCCCCCCCCCCCGCCCCCAAAAACATTGAAATCTTGATGTATATATGTGTGTACTGTGTGTTGGTCTAAATGGGTATTATGGGATTTTGTGTTTGTTGTCTAAGCATTTTTCTGTCCCAACCAAAATGTGGTTGTTAAATCAAAAATAATATTTTAGAAAGTTTAAGCTGGTTGAGCAAGGCTTTACCTTCTGTCCTTGGTTTTGATCTTAATTCTTAATATTAATTCTTAAAGACTTGACTTGCCTCAAAATTTCATAATTGAAAATGTATGAAGCAAAGATGAACTTGCTTTAAAGGAATCTGGTGCAGATCTGTCTTTTTAAAAAGCACAGCAGAAACCCTGGACCTCAGTATACCTTCAAAGTCAGGAAAATTCTGACTTTTGTCAAAGAGAAATAAAAGCTAATTGTGCAAGTGTGTGTGTGTGTGTGTGTGTGTGTGTGTGTGTTTAAATGTGTGTCTGTGAACATACATGTGTTTGGATGTATCTCTGTGTATGAACATGCATGTGTTTAAATGTGTGTCTCTGTGTGTGAGCATGCATGTGTTTAAATGTGTCTGAACATGTGTATGCTTAGACGTGTCTGTGTGTCTGTGTCTTTGACCATGAATGTCTATAGATGTGTCTTTATATCTGTGAATGTGTGTGTGTTTAGATGTGTCTATGTGTCTGTGTGTCTTTGAATGCTTGTGTTTAGACGTGTCTATGTGTCTGTGAACATGTTTGTGTGTTGAGAAGTATGTTTCTTCCCTCTAAAGCTGGTGTTCCAGGAAGTAGGGCCCTTCAGTCTCATTCTTTACTTTGAACACTGACCAACAGTTTGCTTTGAGGAATTAAGTGGAATCTGTCATTCCCCTGTTCTGTCTTAGCCCTTTACACACACTTAAAATCTCCTGACCCAGAGTGTCCACATACAGCCAGACCCACTGGACCATGGGGAATGTTTGAATAGATGGTCGGCTGGAGACTGGCACAGCTGCTCCCATTGTAAATGGCTTAAATGAACTGCTCATTGTTGCAATTCCTAATGCCCAGGTTACTTCCCTTCTGTTAAGTAGGAAGTATGTGATTGCCTCTGACAGGGCCTCTGATGGCAGTGAGGGGCCAATGGCCAGAGAGAGCAGGGCTGGACCCTGCTTGGTGAAAGTCTTGGGGCTCCTTTTCTGGATCCATTTGTAATGGAAATTCTTGTGTTAATGCACAGCCATGCATTTGTTTTGTTTTTAGTCAGCAGACCAATGCAAAGCCTGGGCATCACATCTTTCCACACTTAGCTCTCTGGCTTTGTTAATTAACGGTGACTGTCTGTTGATTTTATTTACCTCAAGTCAAAACTATATTTAATTGACAAATTGAGTGTAGCTATAAGAATCTTACTTTTCTCTCGCCTTGGCCTTCTCCTCCACCTCTGTTGAGTTTCACAGAACCCCATCCCAGGTAGTTTCATGGCCCACAGTAGTGTCCTTCACCACCACCTATGTGCCCCACGCCTCTATGTGGAATAGTGTATGGACAGGCCGAAGACTTGTACTTCGGTACAGAGACACAGAAGCTATTCTGCTTCACTTTAGGCCACCCTGTTAGGTCGCCTGTTTCCCCAGCCAGGCTGGGGATATCAGATGCTCCATGTTTTCTTCCCTAACTATAGCAGCTGCCAGGCCCAGCCTGATCTTTATGGGTAGGAAGCAACACACCAAGGGCTTGCAATGGGAAACCTGGCATGTCCTAAGGCAGCATGGTGAAGACCCACATTCGGCCTTCCAGGTCTTTCTATGCCTGGCTTTCACCTGCCTGCATGCCTTCATGTCTGAGAAGAAGAGTATGAATTGTTACCTCCACAAAAGCGGTGAAATCCCCCACTCCACTCTAATCCCCTCTGATGCTGCTGTTCTGTGGAGGACGCTGTGTTGTGTTGCCATATCCAGAACCCCATCCCCTGGACACTCGAACAGTAGAGCTGCTGGGCCCAGAGTGGAGGAGAGAAGCCTCCTCCTGGTCCTGCTTGAGCCTACCTTTGAGCCAGTGACTTCTGTTACCTCTTCCTCCAAAGAGGCCTAGAATGTTTGAGCAGGGAAATTGAACAAAGTAAGCAAAAGTTTTCTGCCTTTATGGAGTGGCATCTTAGTCTCAGTGTCAGTACGGGAATTATAGACAGTGCAAAAGTGCTTCTCTTCCCTGTGACAGAGCTGTGTAGTTAATAAACTGCATGTGTTACTGAGTGGGTTACTAAGCAGTAATAGTAGTGATATCGTATGTGTTCACCAGCTCCTCACATGCAGACTTCCCTGCTCTTGGTAGCCCAGCTGAACCAGGCCGAGGAGGAACTGTCTATAGCCCTGCAAACAGTAAACTCGCCTTTGCTCTCATCCCTTCTTGTGCTCGACACCAGCTTTGGAATAGTCTTCCCTTCAGCCCACACTGGTGCAGGCAGCAAGAGCAAAGGGTCTCTTTGTCATGGAGTGTCATTAGTTCTGTAACAGGTCCTCACTTCACACCAACAAAGATTCCTGTGAACATAATCCACAGACTACAGTACTGTAGACTGGACAGACATGCTCATTCTTGGGAGCCTGCTTCCCCTTGCTTGCATCTTTCCATGGTTCCCTCGGGGTGAGCTCGTGAGCCTAGAGGAAGGTAACCGTGGAGCAGAAAAGCATTTGTCATCAGCTGCTGAGCCACAGGCTCTGTCCTTTCCCAACTCAGGAGTGCTATTTAGACCCACAAAGCTGGTTTGGCTGTGCCTTGCCAAGCCACATTAAGCAGCTGTGTAAAATGAATTTAAATGGCATGCATCAGAGTAAAATCTCTTCCACTGGGGCAGAAAATCAATGTTAGCTAACCAGCCTGAGAAGATCAGCTCTGCTTCAGCCAGCAGCTTCCAGAGAGCTGCTACAAGACAGCTCCTCCTCCTCAAAAACAAGAGGAGGGCCATGCTGGAGCTGTGACATCCTCACCTGACAAAGGCCCCTGTGCAACCCCTGCTGCTCCCGTGGTTTGCTTTTCGTGATTACAGTATCCTTTCTAAAGAAGAAAGAAATCCAAGTTTTGTTTCTATTTAGGTCACCCATCTGCCCCCACTTAGCAGAGCACTAGCCCCCTGTGCCATTTTCAAGGGGCAGACTTGGCTATGAGGAAGAGTGTTACAAGTCTCTGCACCCGTGGCTGAGAGCCTGATTTGAGCATGATTTGCTGCCCAGGGCTGTAGCTTCTTGCATCAGACTCACACTGTTTGGTCTCCCCCCCCACCCCCCATCAATGAATGGCAGGTGAAGCTACTTTAGAAAATGCGTTTCTTGGGGGGGATGGAAGGGAAAGCTTAGCCTTTGGCCAACCACGGTTTGTTCTCTTCGTCCTTCCCAAAGAGCCTGGAACCTGGGAAAGAATCGCAAATTATTGATGAAGGTGGGAAGTGTGTGTCTGTGATTGAGCCAAGGCAGCAAGCTTGTGGTAGAGAGGGAGGATTGTACATGGGTGTGGTGATAACAATGCTCACAGGCGCAGTGTAAGATACAAAGGAAACATCAGCTTAACTGTTGGGAAAGTGTCTCATTGGTTTCATTTTTGAAGGTGACTTGTGTTACCTGCTACGGTGACTAAGCTACAAATATATAGGTTGTTTCTCTTGGTGACCCCTTCAGATGAAGGAATGAGTGTGTCTGTAGAAAGTGGTGTAGCTGTTGGCTAAGTGCTAAGTTAGGCACGTGACGGTGCCTAAACATTCCAAGTTGATGATTTATAAGGAGTAGCTATCCTCAGAAAGTACCTTGCTGTGGGTTGTTTTCAAGCGTCAGTAGTTAATGTGGTTTTATTCTGGAGTGTGGTGTCTGTTCCGAGCATAGTCTGCCAGAAGCTCAGGGAGACCTTGGCCCCTGCTTCCTGAAGAGGCTTTGCCATGAATCCTAGACACAGCCACAACTTACAGGACGTTTTCAGTGACTGAGTTCATTACCTGTGGCCTTGACAAAAGGTGCAGGCCTGTGTGCTAGCTGTCCTCAGCCCTGCAGTGTGCCCTGTGTTGTTTGTTCCTTTTAGAAAACCTGCAATTCCAAACAGCTGGCCTCTGCCAAATATAGTAGTTGATATGTGGATCTGGGTACTTGAGAATTACCTAGATTTTTTTTCTTTCTTAGAAAATCTTCCAAGGAAGAACCCACAACTCCAATTTACAAAAGTCTGACAAATTCCTGGGTCATTTGAAGCCAGGCTGGTTGGATGGAGTTCATTTCCTCAATGACAGCTACCACCAGCATTGTATGAACTTTGATAGCTTCTTAAGTGACTTTGGCTTGTTTGTGTCACAGATCTGCCATTGGTCTGTAAGATCTTTATACCGTTTTCATTGTGTGGGTTCTCACAAGAGGCAGAACTTCAATTATAGGGTAGGTGAGTCTGGAGCCAGAAGGTTTGTGGACATTGTCCAATCTCTGCCCTTCATTTTATGGTGGAG